CACAAAGAATGTTACATTATTATTTTTCAAAAATAAATAAACAGGTGCATGATGGTCGAAAAACATGATGTTGAGTGAAATAGAAAGGAAGGTGGGTATGGAGAAGAAAGAAGGGTAAAGAAAAAAAGAAGGGTAAAGAAAAGAAAGGAAGGGGAATGCAAGTGTACTGTAAATGTATACAGAAAAGAAGAAGAAAAGCAAATGTAAGGAGGGACGGGGAGGTAAACATATCTTAAGAATAACAGTGGGGTTTTAAATTAGATTTTTTTTATCTGGCCTCATACGCAGAAAAGTACAAATTATTGTTGTTTAATGATTACAAGAACAGTTGATTTGGAAAATTGTTTCACCTTTGCAGCTGAAGCCACATTAGCCCCCTAGCATCATGAACTTTTAATTTGACCAGTTAATTAAAAGAAACTGTTTAAATTTAAATGCAATATCAATTCCTATCTACTGTGCTCCTGATTACTCTTTCCTCTTTCTGCTCATTATTAATGTTTATCTTCCTAATTCTTCCACACCCAATAACCCTTTGTGTCTTAGTGGCTTTTCTGCCTATGCTTGGAGTGAAGCCAATTAAAGAAAAATATCATTGAATTAACAGATCCTTTTTTAGAAAATACTGAGTGGCCGTATCAATGTAAGCCTGGAAAAGTACATCACTCTACAAGAAATGGCTGAAAGGCCAAGATATTTCCTATTGAAGTTGGATGCTAAATTTTTCTTTCCTAATCAAACTTGGCATACCTCACTAAAACTGATCAGTCATCAAGAAAAAAAAGGAAATATATCAAGAGACTTGAAGATTGGGTAGAGGCTGTATCTGCACCTGATACTTCTACACAGTATTGGTTAATAGAAATAACTTTGCAATATTGTGAGATATTATTGGAGTGCCCCAAGTTAGTGGTAATGATGCTTCAGCACTAAAACCATGCTGAGATTAAAATATATTGAGGTTCTTACACAGATATTTGTTATTCCAAGACAAATTTCATAAACGGTGGTGACATTATGAGAGCAACTATTGCAGAAATGTATAAATCCTTGTCGGTTAATGGTTATAAGAACCGTAGATTTGGAACATTGTCTCATTTTTCACTTGATTAACTTTGTGATCAGGTTAGCTAATTCAAGAAAAAGTCTGTGTCATTAAATTTTGAGAAAACTATCATTGTTAGCAGGAACAGTAAAAGAGTGAATGCAATGCATAAAGAATGGTTAGTTATTAGCCAATATATTATTGAAGTCAGAAGTTTTACTGCCAACACAACTTTATAAATAAGTTTGGATTGTCACCAACAAAAAAGTGAAAATATATTCAGAAGTTCCAAGATCAAAGATAGGCTGTATCTCCATAGATCTGACAATCCCATGTGTAAAACAAAGAAAGTCTGGTGTTAGGTGAAGTGGCCTGTTTAGGGCTAATGAGGCTTCAGTTCCAGAACTATGTCTGACCCTAAGGTCATTATCATCTGATGAAGGCTCTCTTTAAAACTCAACTACTGTTTTTACGGTAATAGTTATATTTACAATGCTGTGCTGAAAAGTTCTCAGCTCTTTCCTACTTCCCAAAATCTAACCAAATAACTAAACCAGACTTTTTTTTTCCTTTTTAGAAGGACTTTTTAGTGAGGCAGAGAACTTTTCAACACCTCCTCATTTTTTGTAATATTAGCTTTCAGCTGCATGTTTTTTCATAAATTTTCCTGATTTTATTAGTTCTCAATTTGGTATTTCTGCTGATGACCATTTACTACTGTCTTAATAGTAAGCCTGATCAGTTCAATAAGGTCAGATTGGCAGATGAGGTCAAAAATGACCTATAGTCTGTTGTTAAATGGAGCAAGGAGTGGTTTGTTAATTTTAACACCTCAAAAATAAAACTACACTCTTTTAATTGTCTGAGAGAACCCTTATTACCTTCATGGCTGATGCTAACCTCCAGAAGAGTGCCATTGTGCCTTATTAGACTAACATTTACTGCTGATATGAGGTGGAAACAGTATATTGAATCATTTTCTAAGTCTGAAACTAAGAAATTGGATTCGCTAAATCATGCTGGACAATCTTTCTTGCCAGAATCTATTTTACATATTTATAAGTCTACCATTCATCTTTGCTTTGAATAATTGTTGCTGCATCTGGCCTGGTGCTACTGCTATATATTTAGAGATTATTGATAAAATCCAAAGAAGAATCTGCAATGTTATTGGTTCTGACCTGGCATTTTGGCTTCAGTTAATTTCCCACATAACATAACATCCCTGTACCTTTTTTACAAATATTTTCATGGGAATTGTTTGAATGAACTTTCCTCTATGGTACCAAGACTTTATGAATTTAAGCACAGTGCTAGATTGGTAGCTAGATCTCATCATTTTACATTTGAAATGGCTAGATGTATCTATAATTTTAACAATTTCTTCTATGACACTTCTAGCTTAGGAAACTCTTGAATTGCTTCCTAGTCAATTTTGAAGTACAAAATTTAAATGCAATGTCAATTGTTATCTTCTGTCTTGTTAAATCTTGTCCTTTATTATCTTTTCTCCTTAAGAATAGTTTTTCTCATATTCTCTAACATTCAATAACCAGCTGCATCTTAGTGGCTTGATTGCCTTATTTGGGGTCAAATGACTTTATGAATTTAAGCACAGTGCTAGATTGGTAGCTAGATCTCATCATTTTACATTTGAAATGGCTAGATGTATCTGTAAGTTCTATGTTAACAATTTCTTCTATGACACTTCTAGCTTAGGAAACTCTTGTTTGCTTCTTGCTTCCTAGTCAATTTTGATGTACAAAAATTTAAATGCAATGTCAATTGTTATCTTCTGTCTTTTAAATCTTGTCCTTTTATTATCTTTTCTCCTTAAGAATAGTTTTTTCTCATTCTCTAACATTGTTATCTTAGTGGCTTGATTGCCTTATTTGGGGTCAAATGACTTTATGAATTTCACAGTTTAGATTGGTTAGATCTCATCATTTTACATTTAAAATGGCTAGATGTATCTGTAAGTTCTATGTTAACAATTTCTTCTATGAATAGGAAACTCTTGTTTTTTGCTTCTATCAATTTTGAAGTAAAAATTTTCAATGTCAATTGTTATCTTCTGTCTTGTTAAATCTTGTCCTTTTATTATCTTTTTCTCTTAAGAATAGTTTTTTCTCATATTCTCTAACATTCAATAACCAGCTGCATCTTAGTGTTTGATTGCCTTATTTGGGGTCAAATGACTTTATGAATTTAAGCACAGTGCTAGATTGGTAGCTAGATCTCATCATTTTACATTTGAAATGGCTAGATGTATCTGTAAGTTCTATGTTAACAATTTCTTCTATGACACTTCTAGCTTAGGAAACTCTTGTTTGCTTCTTGCTTCCTAGTCAATTTTGATGTACAAAAATTTAAATGCAATGTCAATTGTTATCTTCTGTCTTGTTAAATCTTGTCCTTTTATTATCTTTTCTCCTTAAGAATAGTTTTTTCTCATATTCTCTAACATTCAATAACCAGCTGCATCTTAGTGGCTTGATTGCCTTATTTGGGGTCAAATGACTTTATGAATTTAAGCACAGTGCTAGATTGGTAGCTAGATCTCATCATTTTACATTTGTAATGGCTAGATGTATCTGTAAGTTCTATGTTAACAATTTCTTCTATGACACTTCTAGCTTAGGAAACTCTTGTTCGCTTCTTGCTTCCTAGTCAATTTTGATGTACAAAAATTTAAATGCAATGTCAATTGTTATCTTCTGTCTTGTTAAATCTTGTCCTTTTATTATCTTTTCTCCTTAAGAATAGTTTTTCTCATATTCTCTAACATTCAATAACCAGCTGCATCTTAGTGGCTTGATTGCCTTATTTGGGGTCAAATGGAAAAAAATGTCTGTGTATATGTGTTGTAACCTAGAAAAGGGGTTACTGAATGAGGAATAACCAAAATGGAGGTTGGAAATGAAATGGTAATTTTTATAACATCAACAGAATACAATACTCGCCAGTGGTGTGAAGTACGTAAACCACTGCTAATGGTGGACTACTTAGACGGCATATTACTCCCACTTACAATAGTACCCAACGTATTTATGAGGGTTGGGACATACCCATTAGTGTTCATAAGTATCTCTATCTATAAAAGGCAGGATGTTTGTGTGTGTGTGTGTGTGTGTGTGTTTGTGTGTGTGTGTAATGAATGCACAGCCGCAATTTTCAATGGATTTGCGCCAAAATTTACATGCATATGATCCAAGTTAGCGGGAAGGCCAAGATTGACTTTGCATTTCCCAACTCCCATCAATAGTGGAAATAATTGATTTTTTCATGCTTCTACGGCAGTTTTCATGTAGTTTGCAGCCATTTTTTACTGGCCTATAGCTGGCTGCCACGAATAGGCAGGAAGATTCTATTGATCAGCATGAAAGCCAACAGCTGACTGACATGAATGTCAACTAGCATGCTAGCATGCAAAAAAAATCAATAGCTGCATTCGTCACAAATGGGAAAAATTTAAATCTGCATGGCACTTTACTCCAACTGGCTCATTCGCTTGCTTAAACTCAATGTTGGTTCTGATTCCACAGAACTGGGTTGGGTGTGAAAAAGTATTTGTTGTTAACATTCTTTTTTCATTCGATTTTTCCAGTTACGAGTCCTTTTTTAAATCTGATCATTTTGTGTTCATTTTTAGGTCTTTTTTCGTAACAGATTTAATGTTTAGTATAGAACTTAGAAAAATTTGCAGTGTGAGATAGGCAAGAAATAAGGCATGTAGCAACATCAGCACGGCAAAGGGCACCTTTAAAGGCAAGGAAGGGCAAAAAATATTTTAAGTCAAGTGATAGCGATTGCTAAGCTGTATGAGTCGTGACGATTTTTAATCAAGCATGGGCAACGCAATGGTATGCTAAGCTCCGGTATATAACAATATGTAAAATTATATACCTAAAAGTATATATGTAAATAGATGCATGTGTATATGGCTTGCAACCTATTGAAACACTGATTCCTATATGATCACTGAAGTTAATCAATGTCGAGGCTGATAAGTACTTTGATGAGTGACCTCTTAGGAATACCAGATACTGCAAGCTTGTTTGTACATGTGTTGTGATGGATAATGGCTTGGAATTGTTAATTGGAGAGCTGAGTTCCAATTCCAGTTGGGTTCATTACATTCACTTACATACAAATACACTTGGGAAAGGTATGAATTCACCTCTTCTTCCCCACTGCTATGGGTTAATTAGTAAGACTTTTATCACTAAATCATTAGTATTCCCCCCACCCTAATTGTTACAAACTAAAAATATTTTCTGGCTTTAAGTAATCTGTAAAGTGTTGATAAGCCACAGAAAATGAATCAGTTAATCAGGAAAAATGTAGTTGTATATACAAAGTATGTTTGAAAAGTGAGGTACAAAAATATTTATTCGTATAAAAATGATGCATTGGGTGTATTTGAGCAACAATTTTTCATGTATAAAATTTTGGTTAAAGACCAACAAAATTTCTTTGTTAAGGGTTTGTTTTATTTATTTATTTCTATGAAAAAATATTTTCTTCCTGGCTTCCACTGCAAATTGAAATAAGAATTGTCCAATTTCTAAGTACTTTTAGGTTTCACAAGCCTTTACAAACCAACATGACATGTGAAGATGCAATATTTGAAAAATGATGAAACTGACATATTACAAAAAATGTTTGATAAAACATTGCACAGATGTTACCAACATTATTATACTATACTACACTACTTCTCGATTTGTTACCTTTGTGATCAAAGTGCATAAATACATTCCTTAAATAATACAGTATCAAGTGACTGGAGCCACTCTTGCACCTCTGCAACAACAGAATCATTTATATGGAGTTGCTATTCAGTTAAATGTCATTTGCAGGGTCCAGATAATCTGAAGGTACCAAGTAAAGAATATAGGGTAAAATACCCCAACTATATTGCTGGAACTGCTCTTTTGTTAGGTTAGCCATGTTTGGGGTAGCATGCACATTTTGTAAATGTCCTGGTCTCTTGTGACAATAAGCTTCCTTCAATCTGTTTCACAATATCTATGTTAAAATTCTGATCATGTATTAGAAAGACTAAAAGCAGCAGTGACAAGGGATATCTGGAAAGTGAGTTACAAGCATTTACTAATCCAACATATTTGATACTATGCAAATAAAATATCATGTATATGTTGCCATCACTACTAAGTTTTACTTTTCCACATAGTTACCATCAAGATTAATGCACTTTTTACATCAGTGCACAAATGTATAAATACACCCCTTAAAAGATATGCATCAAGTGACTGGATCCACCCTCACAAGAGTCAAATCAAGAATATATGGTAAAAGACACCTAATGATATTGCATGGCACCAGTCTTTTATCAGGTTGGCCATGCATGGGTTGACATTATTTTGCACCAAAGTGATATGGTTTTCTAAAGATCCTGGTCTCTTTTGATGAACAGCTTTCTTTAATCTATACAATGTTTTATACTATCTGACAGCATTAATAACCTGACAATGCATTACCACAAGCAGTGTCTTCACTGAATGATTTAATTAGAAATTTGTAGGAACTGTAATGACAGATGTTTCAAGATCATTGAATCAACCTTGGCTCCTTCATATTGTCTTTTCTTTTCTCCTCTGAAATGATGTTTACCCCACAAGTGGTTTAACACAAATAATAATACTGTTGCTGCAAAGGTACAAGGGTGGTTCCTGCTACTTATATAATACTATTTAAGGAAGGTACATTTCCTTCTCCACCCATGGGACAGATGCATATGCCAACAGTATAAATGGAAAATCTTATAGATGATGCATTTCCCTGAACATATGACATGTCATGGGTTTAGCTTCTTCAGGTCAGAATTAAAGGCCAAACTGTATAAGGAAAATGCATTTGAATTTTTGAGGATAAGAGGGATAATAAATTAAAATCATGTATCAAATATTTATACATGCTTTTTTAACATACACACTTCAATGTATGATTTCTAATGGAGAAAAATATTTTAATTAATACTTGTCATGCATTTTGTATTATAATGGCTTCTAGAAATTTGAGACTTTTTGCAGCAATAGACCTGTATAATATTTTGGTGCTGCCTATTAAAATTTGTCTTACATCAATAGTATTTTGGTTGTTAGTGATGTGTTGGTTGATATATGCATAATTTACTCTAAATTTTAATAAGAGTCAGATCAGCCTACAGGAGAGTGTTGTATATATGTGCCCAATGTAAGAATTTAACAATGTTTGTTGAATATTAGTATTGGAGACAATATCTAAAACTATATGAGAATTCATAAACATTATTTTTACATAGTGTGGATTTTCTATTTAACCATTAAAAATGATGTCACATTGTAGGGACTCCAACTCTAAGTGTAACAATTTAAAAATGTGAGGATTTAGTCAAATAAATCTTGCTTAACATACTGATGACACCCATTCTTGACAATGACTGTGATTACCAAAAATATTTTTTATGTAAAAATAAAAATAAAAATAAAAATCATTAATTTTGGACGATTTAATCATAACTTCAATCCTGATGTAAAGCACGTCATTCAGAAATTGGAAAAGTAGAATAAAAAGTTGAATATACAAATCTTGTTGGTAGAATATCATAAAACTTGTTTGGATATATGTATATATATACACACACACTCACATTTGCATATATACATTTATATAGATTATATACTTCCTGCATATCAACGGGGACAGAAAGAATTTCATATTGCATACATATGCATGAAAAAATATATATATATATATATATATATATATATATATATATATATGCATACACACACAGACAACCACATATATATATATATATATATATATATATATATATATATATATATATATATATTAGCTCATGCATGTACAGAATTAGATATGTACACATAAATATCAGGATGTCTCCATAAGAAACCTCTATCAGTTCCATTGCTTACCGATTCCTTAGATATATTAATCAGAATAATAAGGTAAAAATTGATATTTTGGAAACTGAAAAGCGCATCTCGTCCATTGCTATTACCAATTCCCCAATTCTTGGAAAGATTCTAAAACATGTCAGCATGGAAGAATTTGGCAGAATAAGTCAGATTAATTTATAGAAATCAAAGTGATAACCAATTTCCAGCTTTCAAAGTCTGATTTTGGTTTTCATTTTCTGCAAATGATGGACAGCTCAGATTTTACAAACTCAGTTCTCCTTGGTTTTAGCATAGAAACAAAATCCTAGTCACTGAGATATTTTGAAACAAAGTTTTTCAGGGGAAATTTTATTTCATCTCATCAAAAATCAAATGAATTTTTGTACATTTTTCTTCATTTTTATATTTAATTAGAAGTGGAGATAATGAGACAAAGTGAAAAAACTTGTTCGGAAAACGCATTTCACCTCTTTATGGTGGGCGTCTTAGGTTTGAAATAACCGACAAACCCATGTTTAAAGAAAATGCATTGAAATTTTATAAATAACTTTATCAAATGCTGCAGCTACAAAGTTTATTTATTCATTTTTATTGAAGCTATTAATGTCTGCAGAAATTGAAATTAGCCCGCTCCATGTCAATCTCTGTTTTTTTTTTCTTCATTGTAATCATTTCATCCAAATCAAGGCAATAAAGCCACTAAGACACAAGGTCTTACTGAGTGTGAAAGAATATGAGAAAAAGAAAACATTATTAAGGAGAGAGAACAATAAAAGAAAAGGAATGGATTAGGCAGAAGATAACCATTGTCGTCATGGCATTTCAATTTTTGAAGATAAAAATTTGTTCATTTACCACATGGTGCTATTATTGCTTTTGCAATCATCAGTCATTTTGTATATGATCTTGGTCTGAGGTTGACTGTAGAGAATTGTGAGATCAGTGCACTTTCAATGGATTTCCTTCTTAGTGAAAAGATTTTCCTCTTCTAATCAGGCTGCCATTTATTAGGTTGAATTGTCATCAGATATATATTACAGGAAACTACTAGTGATGATTTTATATCATTTCTTTTGTTGTTTTATATATCATTCATAATTATAATGTAGTGTTTATGAAGAAAACTTTACAAATCTATATAAATTAAGATTTGATAAAATGAACAAATTTAGTCATTGAAATTAGAATGGACAGTATATTGAAATATATTACATCAATTAATCAGTTTTCAGACAAAATAAAAATGTCTTCTTATTGAAAATTTTTAATAAGATACAATATCACAACTGAGTGGATGCCAACTTAAAATAAAATTTAATTATCATATAATTTACAAACAAAAATTAAAATTACACAGCATTCGAAACATATATAACATTATTTATCCAGAAAACTTCAACTTTTATGCATGTATAGTTATTAATTTACTAAAGATTTTATCATCTTCCAGTAACACTCATTCAAATAGAGCCAAGCATTTTCTATTAAAGATTTTCACATCTTCATTTGTTTACTACTACATCTGCATGCCAGGTATAAATAAAAGGCAATATATCAAGTAGTGATTCTCCATCATAGTGGAGCTAGTGTAGTAGATAGCTGTAACAATCCAAGTTAAAATAGTAAGAGAGTTATTCAGAAATCTTTCTCTGCCTAATCTATTTTCTGTCGTATGAAAACCGTTCTCATAATAGGAAATTGCACAAAATAAAAGAGAATTTTTGGAAATATTTATGGAATATAAAAATTTTGGATTTCCATTTTATCTGATTTGTTTTTTTTTCCTTGTGAACAAATTGAATATTTTTACAAGGCCAGTTTTCACACCTGCCTCAACCATTTGTAATATATATTTTATTTTTATATAGGATTATATTTGTCAAGATTTCTCCTGATTTTATATTGAAATATCAACAATAGCTTGTCTTTTATCGGTTATGACATTTTGTTTTTATTTTTATTTTGAATAAATATGTTGTAGAATTTGTCTGGGTGATATATGCACATATGTATATTTGTGCTTTGATTTTAATCATAAATTTCACTTCTGCTTAATACCTACTGTCCAAAAAACTGTACATTGGTCAGTAATGGTTTACAGGTATAGAAATCTCTGATTAAT